TTACTTCACGAGCGGAAAGTGTTGATTCACACATTGTTTACTTCACCAGCGGAAAGTGTGATCATCTCAATTCTTAATGCAACTTGTAGATTCGCCCAAGACTTGCTCCTGCACTTGTATTTCCCTCTACTGGTCGACACACTGTTGGCAACAATCTATTCTGCACTTGATAAACAAATCTTGCAGGCCACTGAAATGCTATTAGAGCTCAGGGTTCCGTTCGGCAACTGTAAAAGACTGTGCATGAAGCCACACCCTGGCTGAACATATGCCCTAAAGTTTATCGTTATCTTGTAAGCAGGGCAAAAGGCCTCTAGTGGGAGCTCAGAATCGACTTCTTATGAAAAAAAGTCCAATGCAAGGATAAGAATCGAGGGTCGAATTTCTAAGCTTAGTAGAGGTCCCCCAAAATCTTCAGACACGGATGAAAATTTTAGATGTGGGAACTTCCCACATGGGAAGGTGTGGGCAATATGGCTCATTTCCCACCATTATGGAGGCCTGAACATAACCAGGATGCTCTTTTTTATAGCAAACGGGCAACTTCATAATTGAATACCCTAAACCTATGTTGAGTTATGGTCATCTTTAACTATACTAAACGAATAACTAAACATACTGAACACTCGGCGATCTCTACCACTTCTAGTATCCGCTGTATTAAATGTATCTGGTGGATGTGTATAATTTTAGTTATACGCTGTGACACAACCGCAAGCAAGTCATTGTGGCCTGTTGGCCACTTACACCGTAGCTGGAGCACACTAGTAGTGCATATAGTTTCCTCCAAAAACCAAGAGCTGTGGCACACAGACTAACAACTAAATATTTCAACTGCAGCTCAGTATTGACTGGTTGGTGTAGTGCAGGCTACGCCTATATCTAAATATTCAGCCAGCCCCAGCTGCACATTGCAGTTGTGGAAAGCAGATCCTTTTCGGGATCCTGAAGATCAACGAAGATGTACAAGGTGTATCGGAATCAGTGATGACCGTATCGACATCTATGGACTCGTTACGTGCCTTGTGATGATACAGCCCACGTCCAACCATTGGAGCAGAACAACTAGTACGATATAGACCACGACAGCTCAAAGAGCAGACACTTTGCCTTTTACCTACAAATACACTAGGCTACAACTACCAGGAGCTTCGCCAGCTCCCCATCGTGTTTTCAGTTTGAATACACCACAGTTGGTGGACATGAGTATTGGTCAATATCCAGGGTATCGTGCCTCATTAGGGGCATGCAATGTTGACTAACCGAGATAAGCGTTATTAGTGTGTTAGTAAACACATATTAAATAAATGTAATTACTCCTGCATGTACAGATCCCCTTGCATATCTTGTTTACAATTTGGCGCTATTCGAGGAGATGTCCATTCATAAGCTTTGAATCAAGACTGGCAAAAGCGGACCCCCATTGCCTTTTGCCAGTTCACAAGTTGCCACGGAGAAGACAATCACATTCGCACGTATTTTTCAAGGATGCGCCTATTCTACGTGGTGTTGCTCACTATGAGCACTTTACTTCTTAGCTGTGGCTCTGCTTTGGCTACTGATGGCAATGAGGGAACGCGGTCCCCGAACGTGGGGCACTCTATTAACTGTGGTCCCACCAATAATGCCAATAGAATGCTGCGAGTCAGCAAGGAGACCGGAGATGGAGAGAATGTTGCTGCTGAGGAAGAGAGAGCTGGTCAAGGGCTTCTTAACAAGTTTCTCGGGAGAAATGACCTCACAAAGAAGACATTATCCAGAATGATGAAGGACGAAGCGTTCAAACGGAACATGTTCAAGAATTGGGACAAGCACCGGCAGAGCGTCGGCAAGATCCGAGAAAAAATGTTTCTTAAGCTCAACCCGCGCTACAAAAAGCTCCTGTTGGAATATCTGAACGAATACAAGCGCACAGCCCCAAAACTGAAAAAGTTCAAGCCGCGCAAGCCATCGACCGGTTATCGGGTTCGTTTCGCCGAGGCTTAAGGACTTCGGTTGGCAATTTGTAGCAGCTATTTGGACGGACCGACTTCCTAACTAAAAAAAATCTTCTGTGCTTTTCTTAAAGTAATGTTAAGTAGAAGCTCTGCTCAATATGTTGATTCGTTGAATCGCTCAACTAGATACACTGCGAAACCACCCTAGACCATGCACGACAAAATCTTGTACATGTCACTCGTGAGCCAGCTTGTCCAGTGCTGCATGGTGATGCAGGTAACCAAAGTCGCTCTCGGTCGTCTCTGCTCTTGTGACCAACATGTTCACGAAGGGGTTGGTGCAAATACTAGTAGTAGCTGTTGGTTGTTTCAATTTACAGAGCCCTGATAGAAGTCGCGCATTGTCTTTCTTGCTCGAATTCCTGGTCATCTAAGTTTTAACATTTAATTTTAACGGCAGGTTTAGCGCTTGATAAAGGAACGCAATCTCCATGGCGTTCTCCACTAATTATTCCAGACGGCCGCCATCGCCAAAATGGCCCTCTCCTAGCAAATGATCCGGCCTGGCTCATTTTCAGCTGCTTGGTTGGACAACTAATAATTTGTCCGCCTGTAGATGTACGACAGCGCTCTATTTGAATGGCGTTCTGTTTTAGTGTGTTCTATTTCTAATTGCACCCTCTCTGCTTCAGCTTCCAATTACTAGGCTTTGTATTGTTTTTACCGCGTACTATTCGGTATTATACGTTAGTGTTCGGAAGGGGTACTTAATAATTCGGTTATTTACTCGTGACAGTCAAGCCAATCAGATCCCGTTGGAGTTCGTTTGTTTTCAATGTGGCCCACCCAACTTTAATTTTTTTTTAAATTAAGCTACATATTGCTAGATCTGACGATGCCCACCAAGCACGAGCGTGACGAGCCTGCCGCCAGCTCGGATGATGAAAGGCCCATGCCTATGCCTATGCCGGCTCTGCCTCCGAAGAAGAAGGCCAAGAAGCTGCCATTTGAGGCCACGTATCTAAAGAACCTCCCAAGCGCGGCCATGTACGAGCGCAGCTTCATGCACCGGGCCACGGTATCGCATGTGCTGGTGGCACCAGAGACGCAGTTCATCATCACGGCCAGTGAGGATGGCCACGTAAAATTCTGGAAAAAGATGGCCAAAGGTATCGAGTTCGTCAAGCACTACAAGGCCCACCTCAAGGAGGTGCACGGCCTTGCTGTGTCGGCCGATGGACTTCGACTGTGCAGCACATCGGCCGACCGCAGCATCAAGTTCTACGACGTGCTGGCCTTCGACATGGTCAACATGCTGAGTGTGGCCTACACGCCGGCCGAGTGTTGCTGGATCTCAGCCAAAGGGGCCATCGATCCAAAGGTGGTGGTGGCCGACGAAAACAGCTCGGCCCTGCGTATCTACACGGCCGAGAGTGCGGCCAGCGAGCCTGTGTACACTATTAGCAAGTTACATGCCGCTCCAGTCACGGCCGTGGCCTACAATCCCGTGGCCAACTGCGTCATCTCGGCCGACCAGAAGGGGATCATCGAATACTGGGACGCCGACACGTACAAGCTCCCCACGAAAGCCAAAGGAGTAGTCAAGTTCAAGTTTAAAGGCGAAACGGATCTGTTTGAGCTGGCCAAATGTAAGACGTTCGCCATGGCCATCGACGTCTCGCCTGATGGCCAGAGCTTTGTCGTCTCGGCCAAGGACAGCCAGATCAGAGTGTTCAGGTTCGCCACAGGCAAGATGCGACGCAAATACGACGAGAGTTTGACTGTATTCGAGGACGCACAGGCGGACGACACGCTGCATCTGGATGCTCTTGACTTTGGCCGGCGGGCCGCTGTCGAGCGCGAGTTGGCCCACTCGGACGCCGTGTCCAACTGCGTGTTCGATGAGTCCGGCCACTTCATTCTGTACGCTACGCTGGCCGGCATCAAGGTGTTGAATATCGAGACAAACAAGGTCGCCAGAGTAGTCGGCAAAGTGGAAAGCTCGGATCGCTTCCTGCGTCTCAGTCTATTCCAAGGTAAACCCAAGGTGAACACGCAGTTCGAGAAACACCTCAAGGCCGCGTCTGGCCTCAAACACGAGGCTGAAGTGATGGCCGACTCTGAGAAAGAGCGGGACACGATCGACCCCACCCTGTTCTGTACATCGTTCAAGCGCAACCGCTTCTTCCTCTTCTCGTCCAGAGAACCTGACGAGGGTGAAGGCGAAGACGGTACGGCAACTGGCCGCGACGTTTTCAACGAGAAGCCTACACTGGAGGAAGCCCAGGTAGCGACCGAGTCCAGTAACGCCAAGGTGCTTGGAGACACGGCCGTTATCCACACGACTATGGGAGATATCACACTCAAACTGTTCGGCAAGGAGTGTCCAAAGACAGTCGAGAATTTCTGTACGCACGCTCGCAATGGCTACTACGACAACCTCATTTTCCATCGTGTGATCAAAAACTTCATGGTCCAAACAGGCGACCCATTGGGCGATGGCACCGGCGGTAAGTCCATTTGGGGCGGCGAGTTCGAAGACGAATTCCATCGCAGCTTGCGACACGATCGGCCGTTCACGCTGTCGATGGCCAACGCTGGCCCTGGCACGAATGGCTCGCAGTTTTTCATCACGACTGTCCCTACTCCGTGGCTAGATAACAAACACACGGTGTTCGGCCGTGTGGAGCAAGGTAAAGATACCGTCTCCAGTATTGAAAGCGTACGCGTTGACAAGTCCGATAAACCGCTCAACGACATCAAGATCATTAACATTGACATCTTCTAGATCTGGAAAATATACTCATTGGATGAGAATTACGCTGGGGTAGTCGTGTTGCTATCAGTCGGATTGGTAGCTGCGTTGTTGCTATCGTTACTGAAACTTGCAGCTAGAGCTAGTGCAGCTGAATCGCTTAGACTTTTTAGACGATCTCCACATAGGAAATGGCGGTATATTTGTTGTCGAGAACGTAGCCATTCGAGACGATTTGTTGCTTGATGGGAGACGTAGCGGAAGCAAATGCGGCCTGAAGCGGGGACTGTGTTAGTCTGGTACATGGAGTAGATTATGAGAACGGTGGATCTGGCGCTGTCAATACGGATCATATCCATAGGGCAAGAGATCGATAAGTCCACGAGTGCTCGTAGCAGCATTTTCTCGTCTTCACGAGTGAAATCTACTTCGAAATCCATATCAATATTCAAAGGCATCACAGTATTGAGATATCCCAAATTCATATACACACGCGGTCGATCTGTTAAAGCCAAACGATCCAGTAACTCACCGAAACATTCCAAGTCTACTATAGCATGATGCATCGCCACTAGTGCTCGTAAACGACCAGATTCGTAATTTTTGGGGAAATGTTGTAGCACATGATGTGCTTGTCTTGTCATCACTCGTCGTGCAGCAATAGCGAGGTGAAATAGCACCAAATGATACTTGAGATTCTGGCGTTTGTGTACGGGCACGTAGACAGCGCACACTTCAGCTCCCACTTGAGCTAGCAATGATGCCAGTTCCTCGTCCGCCATAGCGTTTTGTGCCGATATCGCGGTTTGATCTAGTTCCGTACCATCTTGATAGTCTAAATGATTCTCTTCTAAATATCTGTCTTCTGGACGTAGAGGAGATACATAATCGAACTCAAGAACTCCATCACGTGGTAGACGGTCAAAGAATGAATAAGTGAGCTGAATACGCTTCTGGTTGAAGACTATATTGCGCCAATGAAAGCCACGTCCGTATTGACTGCAGTCTGTAAGTTTAGGATGGTTTCGGGTCACAATACCTGTATGGTATGCATTTAGTGAAGCAAACCAGAGCGCAATCTTCCTGTGTCTTGGATCTCTTAGTGTCAACGTCCAGTGACCTGTGGGGTTAGCTGTTGAGAACTGCATCACCACATTTCCGAAGCGATCGATGAGTCTCCACTGCTCTGGCTGCGTTAAAAGTTCCTGTAAAAAGGTGAATGCGTTCTCTCCATCAATTAAACACGTCCATAGTCTGCCCAGAAGCTCCATCTTGGGCAACGAGGACTGTAAATGACTCACAAAAAACGTTGCCTGCGTGGTCGTAAGTTGCAAATCAAGGAGAACTAAATCCAGTAGACTCATCATATCACGTGATGAGAAGCCACGCTTTACGATATGAATTAAACCCAAGCAAGACTCATCATCCAGCCAAGACACGGGACCTCTGGGCAGTGGGGGGGCCATAAAAGTAGCCGTTGCACGTAATATTCCCCTTGCTGGCAGTTCCCACTGCGTTTTATTGGAATCTTGAACGCTATAAAGGCAACGTCGTTCCAAATCAACCCCTAATAAGGACCTCTTCTTGGCTGATTTGGCTCTATTTCTCGAAGCCCCTGCAGATCGAGGGATATCCTCCTCATAGCTAAGATCTGCTAGCATACATCGTCCTTGATATAAAGCCGCATCAATTAATTCACTGGCGACTGCGAACGCATAGGGGGATTCTCCCAATTTAAGCTCAAACGGAGATGAAGCGGATGGTAAACTGGCGTCAAAGATCGGAGAACTGGAGGTCGAGCCTGTACTAGATGTTTCAAGATCATGGACAGACAGACTGATCTCACAACGCGAGCCTAAAGCAATGGCTCTCAATAGTGCACGTGCGCCGACTTCTCCAAGACTATTATCTTTCATATCCAATGTACGAAGTGATTCATTTTGACGCAGGAAGAAGCCGAAGGCCACTGCACTTGCCCCAGTTAGAGCATTGTGCGATAAATCCAGTTCCGTTAGAGTTGTGTTACATGCCAACGCTGCCGCTAACTGCTCTCCACCTCCATCTCCACACCGATTCATACTCATATACAGTGTCCGTAACGACGTATTCGTACGCATAGCGACCCCTAATTCCACTGCTCCACTTCGACGGATATTATTCCACGATACATCCAAAGCTTGAACAACACAAGCGGGATTAGTCAACATAGCTCCAAGTAGAGTTCCTCCTCTCTCCCCAATCGAATTATGCGAGAGATTCACTCGTTTTAAACACGGATGAACCTCAATTGCTGCTGCCACCGGTGCGAAGGCTTCGTCGTCTCCGCCTAATGTTGTATGTGATAAATCCAAGTACGTCAGAGTCTTACAGATAGCCAAAAAGCGTGCAACTTGCTGACAACCTTTTCGACCGAGCTCGTTTTTGCTCAGATTTAGCACCGTAAGTATACAGCTTCCAGTGTTGATTGTTTGACTCGCAGCGAGTAGCTTTGCTTTTGGAGATCGATTGTCGGGGTTTAATATGTCACTGGCAGTAGATTCTGTGCCAGCGAGAGATTGTAGCAGTGGGATAATCGATGCATCGGTAAGACGGTTGTCACTGAGATCCAGGACTTGAATGGCTTGGAATTCACGGAGAGATTTGGATAATGCGATGATCTTGGAGTCGCCCAGTCCAAATTGTTGGAGCTGTAGAGCCAAGTGGCGCTTTCCACGTTGCTTACGTTTATTCTTTTGCAGCGTGTTCATTAACATTGACGTGACGTCAGCCAAGGAAGAACGAGACGATGAATGTCGTGCTGTTAGAGGCTGAGAATCTGGAGCTGCAACCTCGTTGATTCTCGAGAAGATTGGCTCCGGTAGGATTTGCTTCTTGACACATTCGACGTAGAAAAGAGACCGCGGTGATAACTTCCCGAACGGCTGATTAGAACCGTCATGTCCCTCCGGTTCGAGGTCACTATCGACATCCTCGTCGGATGAACATTGTTCATCTTTGCGTATAGGAAGAGGACTAAGCTGATGATGCTGCGAGTTTCCAACGTTTTTCCACTTCGTGAAAAGATGCTGTTTTTCGGCATAGTACTCGATTTGGCCAGCATCGGTTGTATGTTTCTGGATCTCTTTTATCAATCTGTTCAGATACAACAAAGTACTAGAATCAGAACAACTATATAGCTTTATCACATATTCAATCACGTACTTTCGTGCTTGTGGAAGTCGAGGAATCGGTTGTTGAACTGGTGCTACTGCATCTTGATGTAGTGAAGTACCAGTTTCAGCTATCATCGACTCTGAGCCTACTCCATCCGGATAACTCGACTTCCTCGCAGCTCCTTCCAATGTCGGCGGGGCTGTGTTCATCCTTATCGAAGCCGCTTCACGTTTCCGTAGTATAGTCTCAGCGTCATGAAGTTTCTGATCAAACTCGAGTCTTTTATTATCGACTTCCTGCACTGGACCATTTACCGGACTCGAGGCCACACGCTCTAGTTCCCAACTCACCTTTGAAGTGCTAGTCAAAACCTCGTCAATTGTCTTTGGAGAAGGCATTGGCTTCTCATCACTATCATCTTCAGTATCCGGAATGATTTCGTCGGAGTATAAAGTCTCAAGTCGAAGACTCGGGTACATGAACTTCTCGACTTCTCCGTCGACTGTAGCTTTCCACTTGCTATCGTGAGTTTCGAACTTCCCAACTGCATGCTTGTCATCTGTTTTAACAGGACTCTTTGGCGTCGGAGAAAGTATCAGTCCTGGAAGAATAGCTGGGTTTATTGGCATCAACGACTTGTGTCGGGATTTTATCGGTGGGCCATCCATCATTTCATCATCGTCTTCTTCTCGTAGTGAACCGTGGACACCTAGACGGTATTTCCGCATGAGTTTGAGCTTCTTCATTGTCATAATTTTCGTATTTGCCACTGTCGCGAAGCTTTGAGTCGCGTGGTGAGATACAGTAGAGCGAGTTTTCACAAGCTTCAGCGTAGACCTTCGCGAACTGCGTCTTGAGGCTCGAGCTGCAGCTTCTTCAACATTCCCAGACTCACTATTAAGAGTAATAGCCTCAGCAGAAAGCGTAAGCGAAGCTAGCAGCTCCTGGCTGCGGAAACTCTGGCGGGATCGTCGCCTGTTATGCTCATCTCGAAAGGAGCTTCCCTTTTTCATGACAGTAGGAAACGAGGTGAAGGATGGAGATGACTCATGCGACGTACATAGACAAATTAAGAATGATCTAAAAATTGACTTACAACGACAATAAGCACTTTCGTGAAATAATACGAGGAATTTCTGTTTCTGATTAATTTTTGATGGGAATGACAATGTGATTGATGTCCAAAAGCCCCATGCGTTGGTCTTCTGGTGTCCAGTATTTTTCTTGCTTCGTCCTTGGGAAATGCAGAAACGAGCACTCACCATTAGCATCCTAGTGGCACTAGCTGTCATCGTTGCAGTTATCGTGATCGCGGTGACGGTGTCGAGCTCGAAGGCCTCGACGAAATCAAAAGATGACGCTAAACGAGGGAATCCAACAGATGAAACGGTGAAGCCACGCACCAAGAAGCCTCTACGTAAGTTCAAAACGGACAACTCTAACAGTGGGTCGTCGGATGACGAGGAAACGACGGACCCTTTAACGGAGAATTACTCTGTGTCCGCTTTGGCTATTGGAGATTGGGGTCGTACAATTGCCAAAGACGGTGGATCTTGTTGCTCACGACGCAAAAGTTTCACTGTGTTGGACTATAATGCGATGGAATATGTGGCGATTCTACTGGGTCAGGCTGCAGCAGTAGCACAGCCTCGTCCGTCCGTTGTGATCGGCCATGGCGACAATTTCTACTGGGACGGTCTACACGGTGTCACGGATCAAGCGTATCGTTTTCAACAGACATTCGAGGACAAGTACAACGCGCCGAGTTTGGCTGGGATTCCATGGGTGAACGTTATGGGGAATCATGACTACGGAGGCGCTAGTTACGTGTGTACTGATGGAGAACAAGCCGTGGAATGCTCTTCGACTAGCGAATTATTGGCATCTCTGGACCAAAAGTTCACTTTGCAGTCACAATATGTGAGTCCTCAGAACAACCGATGGATCATGCCAGACCATTTTTTCGTGCACTCGATCGCTGATCCAATGTCAAATTTAACAATTGATATCTTTAATTTAGACACAAATGACGCTGACACGCACGGCGCACAACAAATTTGCTGTCAATGCTACGGATATTCCGGAAAAGATGACGATTCGTGCGAGAACGTGAAGCGTGGCGACAGTCTCTGTGCTGGAGGCAACAACGGAATGTTCGATGCTTGTATGGACAAGCTCCAAGCTTGGGGTGACGACTCTAGAAACAAACTAGTGGAAGCTGCGAAAGCCTCGAATGCGACTTGGAAGATCGTGAATACGCATTATTCTCCATACAATCATTACGCTCCGGGTCCAGCTGACAATTGGCGCGAATTACTGGATGGTCTTGGTATCCAGGTCTTCCTCTACGGCCATACCCACGGCGAGAAACACGATTACTCGGCGTTTAAGACCCATTTTATCGAGAATGGAGCGGGCGGAGGTATCCAGAACGAATCACCTAGTGGAATTCCACCTTATGCCGAAGATTATGTAGAGAACGTTTGGGCCGCTGGTCATTATCCGTATGGCTTTTTCACGCTTAACGTTTCCCCTACTTGGTTGAAAGTGAGTTTTAACACGTTCGATGATAGCTGGGCGATGACTAAAGATGTGGACGCTACGGGTGTCGGTGGGATTGCTATTAAACACTGCTGGTACATCCCTCAACGTGGAGGAAAAGGTAAAAGCTGTGAAGGTGCTGAAGCGCAGTCTACGGGTTAGATTTAGTGGATTTTGAAGGAAAGTTATCGGTTTTTTACTTGAGATACTACAGATAAAAACTAATTCCACACTCCTTTCGGCTTTTGAGTGATACAAACCTCGAGCTCAACCGTTTCCTCTGCCAGCTTCTTCCCGATAGTAATCAAGTTTTCGATGAGTAGATCGATCCGTGTTGCCCATTGCTTGAGGAAATAACTGCCATACTCAGCCTTGCTCTGCTTCCAAGACAAATCCCAAAAATCGATGAAGTTCATCGCTGCATGGTTTTGCAGTAGTTGTTTGTGCCCCTCCTGGGCGTAGCTATTGCAGACCAAAGTGTCCTCCTCGTTCTTACCGAAATTCATCAGTCTTCGGGTTAACGTGATCTTCCTGGTCTTCTCAATCTGAGTTTTTAGCATCAAATCGAGAAGTTTTAGTCATGCCATGAAGTCGTCCGCCATTGTCTTCTTTCTCCGTTCCTTTCTCAACCGAAATTCTTTGTCGTATATTTTCTGTAGTTTCCGTCGCGATTCAGTCATTGGGCGTTTGACTAGCGTCCTCTTCCTCGTTTCATTGAGTCTGGACATTGCAAGCGGCACATCGTCTTTGTCGGAACAGGTCACTTCGTCCACAATTGACAAAACGGAAGAGTCCACTGTCTGGCCATTCGACAACTCGGCAGTTTAGCCTTCTAGGGACGACTTGAAAATGGCTTCGAGCTGCTCGTCAGCAGTCACCACTTTGCATTGAATTGACGCAACGGCATTAAACTTGCTTTCGATATCCCCATTGAGAACGTCGTGTACCTTGAGTGCACCAGGAAGCCACACATCGATGGCTTTTCGTGGCTTGGAAGCTAGGGACTCACTGGTAGGGAGGAGCCAACATGAAGAATGGCACACAACCTGAGATGCTCAGGTAGTGTCTGACCGTGTAAGTTTTTTCGCGTGTAGGTAAATCATTCGATCTGAGTTAACAGTGGCCCACTGTACCTCCAGGTAGTCTAGGGCGGATTGCAGAGATCGTTGTAGAGTTGTTGGCACTCCTTCCATTGTTGGAGCCACTGTAAGGGTAGATGCTACGAAGATAAACATGAAAACAATTTCTTTATTTTACACCAACAATTTTAATTAAAAATACTAATATTCAATATCAAATCCAGACACCTTTGGGTTTTTGGTCCAGGCACCACTCCAGCTCCAACGTCGATTCCGCTAACTTCTCTCCAAGTTTGGCTAGTCCTTGGAGGTTTTCTTCAATCTTGAGCACGTATGGCTTCAAGAAGAACTTGCCCTTTTCAATCTTACTGAGTGTCCACGTGGCTGTCCACAACTCGATGTACGTCTTCGCAGCTTGGTTTAGTCCCAGTTGTGTCTTTGCTTCATGATTAACTACATCCATATCTCGATCAAAGTCGGGGAACTTTCGCTCGTCCTTGCCGAGATATAGCAATCTCATCGTCGCCGAGACTTTCCTCGTTCTTTGAATCCGATCCTCCAGCAATACATTGAGCAGCTTTAACCCGGCAACGAAAGCTTTGGCGGCTTCAGTTCTCCATCCCTACACCACAACGAATTAGCCAGTGTCACCAGATAAACCCACAGAATTAACGTACATCTTTCTTTTGACGGTATTTCCGGTCGTATGTCTTCTGGCGCTCCCGTTGTTCCTTGGACAGCTTGGGTCTCCGTGCTCGTTCAGAGTTTGCTGGTGGCGCTTCGTCGTCTGACGTGCTTTCCACGCTCGTCGCGTTGGATGTTACCGAAGCCTTGGACGGACTCGCGTCGCCGGCGTTAAATGCAGCGATGGATGCCTCGAACGCGCTTTCAAGGAAGCAGGCCGCGTCACCAGCAGACACCACCTCATCCCCGACCAACTCGTCCAAGTTTGACTCGTTGAGGAAGTCCCACACAGCGTCGATCTCGATGTCGTTCATGGTCGTGATGTAGAGCGTAAAACGGAGAATGAGGGCTACGACGCAGGGCCATTCTTGACTTCAACGTCGTCCTCTTGGCTTCAGCTTCGTCGTCTACCGGTAAGTGCGATCGGGGGCTGCGCTAGCGTCTAGTTGTCGACTGTCCCCTCCCCAAGCATGGGAGGGGCCTCGACCACTCTTCAACTCAATGGAAGAAGGTGCATGGAAGACGCTATTGGTCATTACATTGAGACTTGCGTTGCGCTCGCCTGAACTCCATAAGGTTGGACAAGAATCCACTCTTTACCTCAACAAAACAATATAAAACATTCGCATTTACTTTACATATATTCTACACCCACACCCCAGTACTGTTCCCTTCAAGTCGCCATCGCAGCTCCTCCATAGCTACTCGCAACTGTTCGCCAAGCATCAGCAAATTGTCGAGAAGATGTTGAATCTCCGTACTGATGTGCTTTAAGAAGCACTTGCCCGTCTCTCCATTCTTCCTCTTCTTCCAATCCTCCACAGTGACCTTGATACACTCCAGTGCTCCTTGGTTGAGCTCCAACTGAAGTTGCGTGTTTTCTCCAGTCGGCATGAACACTCCGTTCTTCTTAGCGAGGCAGAGTAGGCCTATGTCGCGCTCCGTTGTAACGATGCGGAACTGCATTAACCCCACGAATTCCTGGAGGACCAGGACGAATGATCCCCCCAATGCGTTATGTCGTGCCTGTTATTTAACGCGTAAGTTTTCGCTAATCGACTTTTAATGTTCATTGATGTACTTACTCGTTTGTTGATTCGACTTTTCTTGTCGTATACCTGCTGGAGCTTCCGTTGGAGCTCCGTCTTGGGCTTCTTTGGCTTCTTGGGGTACTGCCTGATCACCATAGCTGGTGGGGGGTCCTCACTGTCACTGGCTTCGTCCGACGTGGTCCCCGTTACGGAGGATTCGCCGGTCATTTCGTCGTTATCGTCGAGAAGGTGGGCCCATCTGTCGGAAGTAGCACCGATGGCTCCATACTGGATGATCTCGTCGAGACTTCGCTCATTGAGGAAGCTGCACACAGCGACCAGGTCCAAGTCACGGGAACTCATGTCCACGGTAGCTCGAAAATTGCGGAATGGCAGCCGATACACGCTCACTGACTGTTTTCAGCGACAGATCTGGGTGTGTGCGCCTCGGTATCGTTCGATTGAGATGAGCTCTTCACCGTGGAGGATGGCTGCAAACGTCTGAGTTGTGCTTGGCTACTGTTGTTGTGCCATAACCGACTTGTCGGTGTCGGGAAGGACACTGCGGGTCATTCCATGGTACATGCAACCTGCGGTGACCGCGTAGACAGGACGATGTGAAGGGCGTGCAGATCACCGCCCTACTATTAATACTGCTGACCTCGAGGTTGGGAACGTCTTGAATTCTAGTAGCGATGCAAGCTTCTTCGCAGCAAGGAGCATGGGCTTCGCAACATTTTAAGCATATGCTTGTTGAAGTTTAGATTCGGCTCGAAAGCTACATGGCCATGTTGGCTCCACTTGAGCTCTATATTCATTATCCTTTAGTCGTACGACGGCTCGTCTGCGACGTGTCTGCCGATGACCTGCGATGAATGTACATGTACCACGCAGTGGACCTCAACTAAAGTTCCTTCCCTGCCCGCATCGAAGGCCTGACCAAGCTAGATTATGCTCACACAGCAGGAGCAACCGACTTGTTCTTCGCGTAGTGTAGACGTTGAACTGCCCGGTTTTATCTGAAGGCTAGCAGCAGTTATGCGTAATATTTCGTCTGATGTGTACCTTACATTTGTTTTTTTAGCAGCTGTTCAGCGACTTGAATATTTTGTAATGTAATTGGTCGCTATGACCACGATCACTGTCAAGAACTACATCCAAGTTGCCAGCACTTCAAGTTGCTTCGACGCCGCCTCAAGCCCGTGGTCACGTACTTTGGTGGACAGGAGCGAATTGAAGTCTCGAGTAGTTGAAGCGCAACGGTGAGAGCAAAAGTGTTAATGCGGTGTTTAATGTACGTTTACTGTGAACTTCTTACGTATTCTTCGTTAATCTTTAGTAATTTCTTTCCCAACCTGTACCGCGTAGAAAAATAAACTGACGCAGTTTCGGCGTCCGTCATCAGGTCAAATAAACGGTAATACCTCACCACGTGAAGTGACGTTGCTCCAATGGCCCGTATGGGTGGAACCGATCGGGTCCAAGCACAATGCAGCGACCGATAACTTTGTCGGCGCTGTGGCGCCACTCGCTGACCGAACGAAGCTGGTCCTTATCCGAGTACTCACGGATGCGCGAGATCTTCTCCCACGCCTGGAGCGAGCGCAAAGTGATCAGATCCTGTCGGAGGGCGCGCTCCTCCAGTTTGAGCAGCAGTAGTTTGTAGCGCAGCGAGTCTTGGCCACCCTGTTCGACGCGGACATAGGGTCTGCAGCGCTTCTTGCGATCGGCGAAAAGCTTCATCTCAAGAGCCAGCCACTCATCGCGGTGCGCCTTAAGATCTCTCTACGAATACACACAAAGTGGACAGTAGGTTGGTTCACGAACGTGTTGACCCGGTGACAATAGTACTCACCCTCTTGCGGCCACGGTAGCTCTTCTCGTAGCCTCGTTGGCGTCGTCGAAGCCGCTCCTTGTCCTCCTCACTGATAGTGTCCTCATGACCTCGTGTCGAGACCCGAGGAACTAGCTCGATCTCTGGTTTAGTGAAGACCATTTCGGTGCGGTAGCTTGAGTCCAGGTGCTCTTGCTTGATGAATGGCTCGTCGAACCCCTCCGACGGTGGGTAGCACGACGGCAGATACACTACCGACGAGGGCGAAGTAGGCTGTGTCGGGTGGATAAAGCTGATGGAGCACTCCACACCCGTAACCTTGGGGCTTACCCAATCATCCTGAAGCAGCATCGAGTGGAAGTCATCAAGTGCGAGAAAATGCGCGTCCAGCTCTTCCGCGAAGAGATATCCGGCCGTGGGGAGCATTGCCGCCATTTGATACTCGTCTTCCATTTGGGAGATCTGCAGCGAATTGAGAACTGACGATCCGGAGTCGAGTTTAAGCGAGAGGCCCCAAGGTCTCACCACCGCCGCGGAGCTTGTTGTCGTTGTGCTGTTGTGGCTCAAGAGCGCGATCCCAAGCGGCGCTGGCAAGTGGAGATGCGTCCAGAACAACGCGCGCAACTTGCAGCAGAGGATGCGCACTAAGGCATCGAAACGATGACTTGACCGTGGTTGTCGTTCCGACCTTCATCACTAGCAATTTGAATACAGAGACGTCGTGGGACGCTGAATATCATCGCTGATTCATCAGGATGGACGCCGGTGTACTTTAAGCTTCGAACCGTGGAGATAGGTTGGGAACGGTGGATACTGGACCTCGGAGCCTCAGGTTGCCCTGCGGCCACCAAGGGCTCAGTACCTTGGCCAAGGCTTTGGCGGATCGCTCATCGAAATGCACCATTACACCATATCTCTTCGGATCGGGACGGCTTGCTGCGGTGCAGACGACAGTCATGGTCGGTACATGAACGAAGGTTGAATCTAATTGCTGGATTTGAAGTTGTGATACGCGTGCCCAGTCGCCTATCCGCTCGTCTCTTTGGACGACTGGCGCGATGAATCCTACACTGTTGGACATCCCGCCGCAGACTCTATGGCCTTCGGACGACACCATCGTCCACCGCCGATGGCTAAATTCTTTGGGACACTTGAACCAGCAACGACGTCAAGAAGCCCCCTTCTATGATGTCCTCCATCACATCGTGGTACCGATGGAGATGGAGAGAGACGATGTAAAATATATGTTGTTTACAACATCAGATGCGAGGTAGCCATGTGGCGGCCATGGTCAGACCTTGCAAAGTTACAGTGGTGAACCCAATGTTGCTTCCATCCAATGAAATTGACCCAAACAGCGCCATCACATCGCTAGCAATTCTACAAAAGTCTTGAGATGAACGCGATACTGCTACATGTTTGCCGTGAAAGTATCGGTAGCCGTGTTGATATTTACTGGAAGTAGCTCAAGTTCGTTACGGTGCAGCGGGATTGGGCTTCCGTCTACTGAACGTTTTGTTAGTGGGCTACGTAAATATGTTTGAAACGATGCCTCTCACCGAATATTCGTGTGTATTACAACAAGATTCATGCAACACGAATCAGGCCTCGCTAATAGTGGAAATGGCTCAGTTTTTCCACTACGTTCCACATCTTAGATCCCCATCCCGGTCGGAAAATGCTTAGAAATCCTAGAAGTTCGGTCCCCAATTATTACCCAGACACTGATATTTTTACTGTCTTCTTCATGAGAAGTCGTTATAAGCTCTCACAAAAGACTTTGCGTCCTGCTAAAGATGCCAAGAAGCTTCAGGCACGTTGCTAGCCAGGGTATGGCCTCACGCATGGTAACTTTCTAGCTACCGAACGGAGACCTGAGCTCTTAAACCATTTGAGGGGGCTTGCCAATGTAGTATCAGAAATGGAAAGATCAACACGATCGGCAAATGAAAGAGAACAACGCGCGTACACTACTTGAATGTCCCTTTTCGAACGGGTAGCTTCCCCAGAGCACTACGAATCCGTTTATTTGACGGTCTCAAGCAGGTACAAAGAGCTCAAAAACACGAACATTTAATCGTGACAGAACACTGGAATTAATGCATATAGATATTAGTACTGATAAACCGATCGGACTGCAGATTTAAGAAGAAAAAAAAATGTTGGTAACGTCGTCGGCGTGGTCTTTTATCCTGACAACTTCAACTATCGACTTGAGCTTAGTGAAGCTTTTCAAACCGGCAGTGAAAATACATAGGCAGTTGGCATAAAATTTCCTCGTGTACTCAAGTCACTAGTCGGCTTCGTCGCAATGGGGCATCCTTCCGTGCGGTTCTGGGTACAACGTTTTCAAACACAGGTGAGACTTTCGAACAAATTGAATATCATAAATTCCTCCATAGATAACATTCTACACATTATTATAAACAGCATAAAAACGTTTTCATTCAAGTAACAAAACAATTAATACGTATATATTACATTCTCGTTTTTTTTTTTTCATATCATCATACCACAAAAAGCTGTAGTGTGGGAGAGATGGTATTTTTCCTGCGATTAGAGAGGTCTGCTTCGCGATCCATATTGCAGCCTATCCATCGCTCGACTGACCAATAATCACATCCCGATCATGATCTTTGCTCCGAGGCAATTGTCCCGTCAAGACTAGGTAAGTTGCGATAAGAAACGTGGTGGACCAGTCGACAGGACACTAATAGTAACTTGCTAAACTTTAAGCTCCGAGTCTGGGGTATTCAAAGTGGCTTCGGTCCATCCTCTTAGCAATTCAGGCACGTCGTCTCCAGAAACCTTCATTTGTCATTTTACACCTTGAAGTGGATTGCCGATCCTCCAACGCAGTATGGCCATCAACAACCACACCCGTCGAATTGAAGCCGAGTTGGTTGTATTATCAGCGTGAAACCATCCGTCCCGATCACTAACCAATACGTACTTTCGCTGTATACAACAGTGGACGCCTATTTCATCATTACGTTGGGCAAGGTAGCTATTCATCGGTGGCCGAAGAACGAAGGAGGAACTCATCCAGGTTGGTTCATATCATTTGACAACTCGTTCTCGATAGGCCTTAACACCTCACAAATGCATGTACCTAGCGGCCCAAGTACCTATCGCGCAACAGTCGCTGCCACATGTCCTGAGACGACCCAGAGTGGCTAACTCCACTTGCATCGTCATGCATCACCGGACAAGTTGGTTTGTGAGTGGCACGTACGAGGCTGGGTCGCGCATGGCTTCTATTTGAGGAGTTTCTATAGTCCATGTAGTTGAACGAAAACACTGAAGAACTGAAGAACTGTTTTTTTTAGTTTGGTAGTCAACCTGTCCATTCATTTGGAAAATAGCCACTACAAATTACCAACCGAAGTCCTCAAGCGTCGGCGATACGAACCCGATTACCGGTCGACGGCTTGAACTTTTTCAGTTTTGGGGCTGTGCGCTTGTATTCGTTCAGATATTCCAACAGGAGCTTTTTGTAGCGCGGGTTGAGCTCAAGAAACATTTTTTCTCGGATCTTGCCGACGCTCTGCCGGTGCTTGTCCCAATTCTTGAACATGTTCCGTTTGAACGCTTCGTCCTTCATCATTCTGGATAGTGTCTTCTTTGTGAGGTCATTTCTCCCGAGAAACTTGTTAAGAAGCCCTTGACCAGCTCTCTCTTCCTCAGGAGCAACATTCTCTCCATCTCCGGTCTCCTTGCTGACTCGCAGCATTCTATTGGCATTATTGGTGGGACCACAGTTAATAGAGTGCCCCACGTTCGGGGACCGCGTTCCCTCATTGCCATCAGTAGCCAAAGCAGAGCCACAGCTAAGAAGTAAAGTGCTCATAGTGAGCAGCACCACGTAGAATAGGCGCATCCTTGAAAAATACGTGCGAATGTGATTGTCTTCCCCGTGGCAACTTGTGAACTGGCAAAAGGCAATGGGGGTCCGCTTTTGCCAGTCTTGATTCAAAGCTTATGAATGGACATCTCCTCGAATAGCGCCAAATTGTAAACAAGATTGTGCAAGAGGGGTTAGCTGCTGTGTTTTGATTATTCCGTGTGATGACGAGACGGCCGTAAACAAAATGATACTAGCGTAACTAAGCACGAATCGCGATTTTGGCACACCTTTAGAAAGATGAACGTCTACTCTTTCTTTTGAGCCGCTTGGCAGCTTCTAGAACCGAAATCTGACAAGTTGCAGAATCTCATAAAAAAAAAAACTCCTGCCCTGACCAAAATCGATTTTTTTACTGGCTTGCTAGACGTAAATTTTGGCGGCGGAGCCATTGGTGCTGTCCGTTTCATCTGAAAGAATGCCGAACATTTTTATAAAGCGGCTTTTGTGGTCAAATTCGCATTAGTGACTATTGGGCTATTAGTAAAATGCTGTTTCGTCATGGGCATCAGTATCATACTGGATAACAAATTGATACTTATGTCCACTTCTTCGTTCCCGCTCTCCAGCCAGAACCTCCGCATCTTCATCGCTCCAGTCTTCGTCGGTGTTATCATCTAACTCGTCGCTGTCGGCTTCGTCCTCGCTTTCTCTCAAGCAACCGTCTTCGGTTGCCTCTTGGTCAGACTCAGCTGTGTATTGCACAAGCTAGATATCACCTTGTTGTGAGGCATCGGGGCTTCCGCTGCGTAGGTCACTCACTGCTGGATTCAGATGCACTGGTTGGCAGCGCACCGCTGGATGAGGGCGCCGTGGCTGAAATCGACAGCGAGGGCGAAGGTAAAGGTGGGAGCTGGCGGAGTGGCATCGTTAGAGAAAGTTGCGCTTTTATCGTTGCCCTCACGAGCTCACTTTTGTGACTGTTTGGGTTTTCAAAGCACAAATTAGCCGTTTTCTCAAAACTTCGATTAACCCCCGGATTCTCCGGCATAGATAATATATGAATTAACGTATGTCTGGAAATCAGTACAATATACACTGTTGCAAGCCTGTTTCCTCGACACGTGATACAATGTAGGTGACTGATTGATTAATCTATGTTGATGTGCTGTGCAAAATCAGGATAAAATAACTGTCAATTGAGATCACCCGGCAAAACCGTTTCGCCCTGAACAGCAACGAGCCATTGAATGCAAACCATTCAGCACAATGACATTTTCATTCAATGCTTACTCCTCACTAGCGTCGCTATCAACCTCTACCCGGCGCTTTTTCACAAAGCGACTCTTGTGTTGCAGCGCTGCCGGGATCGCCGTACCATTCTTCCACGTCTGGTGCCAGATCTGGCTGCAGGTGAGTTGGTTTCCTCGGTCCAAACGACGAACCTATAGCAGAGCGTCACTCTCCCCTTCTTGTC